CATAACAAATGTCACAATATTGTTTATTTTTCCAAAATAATTCTTACAGCAGCTCTGAACATCAAAAATAGCTACTTTTATCACTCCTAGAAAAATATTGCTTTGAGAATGCAATATTCATATTACATGAAATATCTAAATTACACAGGTCAACAATGAAAAGTCATCAGAAATAAAAAGTGTGTGATTTTCTGTGACATGTCCTGATACCAAATATGAACCAACAATTTCTCTAGCATGTATAATTTTTGTGATAAGATAATTTTAATATTGCGAATAATCCCCAACAATGACGTATCTAGTCAACAATGAAAAAACATCAGAAAAGAAAATGTGTGAGATTTACTGTGTCACATTCTGATTTCAAATATATGCTTAGATTTTCTCTAACACATAGTTTCAGAGATAAAATGGTTTTAATGTGGTGATTGTGTAAATATCTAATGGCAAAGCTGATCCTTAAGGAACTGCTGTAGCTGGGAATAAAATGAGCTCTTATTATGACTAGCGTATCTCAAAACATAAAGAAGGGTCTGAAATAGAATAGTTTCTTATGAGCCTGGAAAATCCAGTGCTCTCAATGTTCCTGTCGTTGATCCCAACATATTTCTCCATCCTCTTCATTTAAAGCTTGGATTGGTGGTGATTGTTTGGTGAAGACAATGGGTAAGGACCTGTAAACCAGGTAAACTGTGGAGCATATCTCTGTAAAAATTTCCAAAAATCATTGCAGCAAAAATGACGGAAGGAGCCTTTACAAATCCAAGAGACTTTTAAAAATGATGCGTTCACATGTATGATGACTCCAGAAGAACAAGATGTCTGGACTAGCTTTAACAGTGGGTGTGTGAACATTTCCTAGTGAAAAACAGATCTTCGGATATTGTTAATCGAATCAAGCTACTTTATACATTTAAAAAACTGGGTTGTAGAATATCATTTAAATTACAGTTTCTTCACTCCCACTTAGATTTCTTTCCTGATCACCTCGGCAAAGTGAGTGTCAAACATGTTGAGCGTATCGAACAAAACATCTGAACAAAGAAGCAATAATACCAAAGTTTATGGAAAGACTCCATGATGGCAGATTTCTACTGGATGTAATACAGAGAAGATCCTGAAGCATTTCACAAGAGACGTGGAAGTTCACCACATTTCTAAGTAAGCTTTATTAACATCATTTATACGGAAATTGAATATGGCTTCTTTATAGTGTAATAAATGCATTCTCTACTGAAGAAAAATGGTGGTTGATGGCACAAATCTGAATACAAAACCATAATCTGTGTTATAAACAGGTTTAGAAAAATATGCTTATATTTCTGATGATTACAAGTTTAATTTTGAAGACCTGTTATTGATACTGCACCCAAAGCAAGGGAAAGCTACTAACAAGCAGTTACTTTTATAGTTAATTAAATTATTAACTTGTTATAAGATTTCAATAACATTACCTAAATGGATATGCTCATATCTTTCCGGCAGAAGCCAGTGTGTCGTTAATGACCATGTGTCTGAACCATTTGTAGTTAGTTCTAGCGTTTCTCAAGGCTCTCATCTAGGTCCAATTTTGTTTAATATTTTCATAAATATCTAGTATCTGTTATCAAATATAGTAAAATCTTATTGTTTGAGGATGATTCCAAAATTAATGCCAAGATTACTGATTTTAATGATGCCTACTGCTCACAGGAAAATCTCTCTGCCTTCTCACAGTGGTGTTCCACACTAATAAGTGTTGTGCAATACCTTTGCCCGGAGACTGAATGTTGTGAGCTACACATATTCTTTAAATGGAGAGTTCATGATCACTATCTCTAACATCAGGGGACTAGGATTGAATTTCAACTCTAAACTTGATTTTAAGATACATATTACTGTTACAGTAAATATAGTTCTGAGTGCCACGAGTCTGATTTTGTGCCACACCAAGCCCTTCCAGTCCACCGATAACTTATTAATTCTTAATAAAACTTTGATTCATTCTATTTTAGAATATGCCTCTATTATTTAGTCCCCTTACACTGATTTATCTATCAATCATTTGGAACAAGCCAGAAGTGGAAAGTAGCAGTCCATTCGCAGACTTGACACAAATTTCATAATACAAATTAATGTAGAATATATTTTTTTCTCTCCTTTTTACTTCGGTTTTAAGTTTTGTTTCTTATTTTTATAAAAAACACCAACACTAAATTGAAGTTCATTTGATGTAAATCACTTTTGTGCATTTTATTTTCACTAAACCTAAAATGCACAATCTCACCTCCAACTGACAATTTCATAAAACAAACTAGTAGTGCTACAAATGGCACAGATTCGCTCATAGTAAAGTTTTCTAATTTTCTTGGTGTAGACTGGTTTCCCCCTTCTCTTGCCAGCTGCCATCTATCCCCGCCCAAAGTACATTTTTTGACATTTTCTCACTTTTTCCTACTAGTAAAATTGAAATATTACTTTAAGAATATTAAAGAAGAGTACAACTTTGTCATAAATGGAAATTCCCATGAAAAAATATGAAGCCGGTTTTAAGAAAATGGTATTCAAGAGTTACTGTAAATGCAAAATTTGAAGGTCCTTTTCACAGAAAAAATTTGGGTTTTCGAATAACTTCATTTAAAGTCATTTGAGGTACTTTAACTCACAAATGCAATAGTGTTTACAAATTGTTTGAAATATACATATTAACAGAGTGAGAGATATACATGTCTAATTTTTGGAAAAAAACAACAAAAGAATACAGCAAAATGAACTTCAAGGCATTATTAATAGTGCAATTAGGCACCCCCCGTTGGAAAAAATTGAAGAAAATATTTGGCATTTGACCATTTCTGAAAATGCGTTGGTTTTGTAATTTTTCAAAAAATATAAGAATAGAGCAATATGGCGTGTATGTCATCTTATAGAGTGCATTTAACACAATCCCTACCAAAAGTTTAACGAAAAAATTTGGAGATGTTTTGAGAAAATATTGTTTTTGTAATTTTTTAAAATTGCAAATATTGCATGAAAACTACTAAAAGTTTCAAAAAAGTGTACATGACGTTAATGAAAGAACTAACTATGGACAACTAATTTCATTGGAAGGAAAAATCTTCATCTTCAATTTTGTAGTTGTAGAAAGATGTTGCAGAATATTAAAAATTTTTGCAATTTTCAAATCTTCAGAGTTAATTGTGAAAATTGGACCTATGCCACATTTTTACTTTCCTGTTTACGTACATACATACAAAGTAATACACGTAGTGAAGGGAAAGTTAAGGAAATTTATGAAATGTTCAGAAAATCGATTTTGAGATTTCAACGGAAATACACGTTTCTGGGGCCCCTGATAACGAAAAGGCGTTGTTTTTTTTTCAAAATGTCCATCTGGTGTCTAAACACAAGTGCCTGAATTTCTGAAAATTTCAAAATTTTCAGGTGTATTCCTAAAACTCCAACATTTAAGGAACAATCTGTTTTCAATTTTGTTGTTGCAGAAAGGTGCTGAAAAATATTAAAAATTATGGAATTTTGGTAGTTTGCGCCAAATATTTCATGCAATATGTGCAATTTTAAAAACTTACAAAAACAAGATTTTCTCACAACCGGCTCCAGATTTTTCCTTCAAATAAGGTTTGTTCTCCATAATGAGTTCTTTTATTAAGGTCATGTACATATTTTTGAAAATTTTAAGTTTTGCGCAATACTGCATGCAAAATTACAAAACTTTTTCTCCAATACGGCTCCAAATTTGTTCTTTAAACTTTTGGTAGGGATAGTGCTAAATGTACTCTATAAGGTGACAAATTTCATATTGCTCTATTCTTTTGTTTTTTCAAAAAATTTTTTTGACTTGCCTTATGTCAATTATATTTATATTAGCGGCAATTTGTACACATTATTGTATTTATGAGTACATGTGATTTAAATAATGTCAGATTAAATTTCTCAAAAACTACTGTTTTCTGTGCAAACTAGCTCAAAACTCTGCATTTTCAGAAATGCTCAAATGCTTTTTTTTTTTAAGCTGTTTTTGATTTTGAACGGATAGTGATAATAATACTCTTTAATATGATGTAAAGTTCATTTCAGTGTACTTTTTGTTTCTTAAAAATTACAAAAGTGTAAATTTTTTGAAAGATTTCTCTCGCCATTGATTTGCACATTTCCAGCCGTTTGTAAACACTATTGTATTTGTGAGTTAAATGACTTCAAATTAAGTTTTTTGAAAACTCTAAAACTTTCAGTGGAAAAGCTTCAAATTTCAAATTTATATTTGTTCTTAAAATTGAGGTTTTGAAAAACGGCTCCATTTTTATCAAAGAAAATTGCCACTAAGACAATGTTTTACTGCTCTTTAATATTCTCAAAATAATAATGACATTCAACTATTAGGAAACTGAAAAATTAAAAAAATTTAAAAACGTACTTTCGACGGCAATAAATGGCAGCAAGCTAGAGTATGTGGCAAGTTTGAATAGCTTGCCGAGACAAAAGGAAATAGACGTCTGTGCCATTCTGTAGCACCACTAGTTAAGTGTATTCAATTTTTACTCTTACGAGAAATTTAAAGAAAAAATTTGGAACCATTTCTGAAAAAATTTTGAAAATGTCTGGGGGGCTTCTTTTCAAGTACCCCCAAATTTTGAAGAAAATTTTTCAAAATCACAGACCCTCAAGTCGAGTCAGATTGACCATGGAATATCGATTTTGGAAAATATTCTACATATTTTAGGTGCTAAAGATGTTCACAGAAGGACAGACAAGGAAAAGAAAAATCTCTTCGGTATCAGGAGACCCCAAAACATGTATATCCGTTGAATCATGGAATTAATTTTCCGGAGCAATACATAACTTTCTCTATATTACACATATTACTCTATATAAACGTATGTAATAGAGAAAGTAAAATCACAGTATTGATTTAGATAATAACCATCTCAATGGTTACAGGAATCGATAAACAAGTAGCATTCAGAATGGCAAATCCAAATCTTCCATATTAATATAATAGGAATTGCCATGCTAAGAAAGTAAATTTTTTTTCACTTGTTTTATTTTCTAAAACTCGTTTAATAAGTTAAATGGAAATTTATCCACGATCTAATTAAATATTTCCCAAGTAAATATTTAATTATCCGTTCTGCAGTTATACCTGACCCATAATTTCAATTTATTGGTGGAAATACTGCCTGTTATAAATAAAATGAACAAAGAATTTATATAATACTCGAGTAACAAAGTGTAAAAAAAGTTTGAATTATTATTTAGCATTCAAAGTAGCTTCTTTTACATATCAATACATATATATATATATAGCATTACATAATGTCAAAGACAAAGTAATTCATTCTTTTCATTTAATTATTAACTCATCTTGATTCCGATGGATTTGATTTCTTTAGTTCATAAATCTGAAACAAAAATGAAATCAAGTAAACATTCGAAGAAAAATTCTGACATTAATATGATCAATTTGGAATATAATTTAAAAGTAGATCACATCATAAAAAGCATGAAAGTCAAAGATCAATTCATAAAATTTATACCTAGAGAGATATCTAGAGAGATATACTAACCTGTATATATGCTTCTGTAAGAGTAATCATTTGAGGCAAAATATCAATAACATGAAGATCTTGCATCTCATACCATTTGCCACTGCCCTACAAAATCCAAAACAAATTAATAATTACATAAAGTTAAAAAGACCACCATTGCTTCTATATACATTAAAGCAAATTTACCTTGTGTAAAACATGAACACGATATGTGCCTTTCCCAGGTTCACCGTCATGAACAATGTTTGCTACAAGGTCATAAGTTGAATTAGGATACTTTTCCTTTATTTCTGGTGTTAAAATATCTCCAAAATCCACATTTCTGAAAAATTATTTAAATCTTGGAATTGAAACACATTTGAAACTGTTAAAGAGAGTAATAAAAATATGAAAATATTTTTGTGGTTTTCCTTTCATGAACTAAGGATTCCGCCGGTATTAGCCAAGTGCTGGAGGCAAAGACCATTTCTTTTTGGATCTAAGAATTACTTGGCATCCACTGCAAATTTGCCATAGAATTCAGGCCGATGTTTTTGAATGGGCTTGTAAAGAAAAAATCTCAAACAAATTTCATTGTATCAAATGAAAGGTAATGTGAAAATGAATGCGGAGAGTTTGCTATAAAACTTTCATCTACTACTTTTTTGCTTTTGCTTTTCCTTCCTTTTTGTTTTCTTCTTGCTGTACCAGCTAAAATTAAAGTGGCACCATAATTGCAGGGCTAGCTGCAATACAGAGCATGTAATGCATAAATGGCAAGCTGATCACATCAAATAGTATGAACCACAATTCAAACTGCTTAGCAAAATTTATTATACCAATTTCATTTCAATTAAATGGTAAATCATATCAGTACATAATGTAATCACATGCTTGCTTATTCACAGAGTTCATGTGTACCTCATGTGTACATAAGGGTCCTAAGCATGTGTTTAGCCTACTTACTGCCTTGCATAGTACATCTGTCAGGGATGTAGAACCTATTTATGGAATATTCAATTGGACAAATGGAACTCCTCCATTGAACCGTGATGCAATCAATAAGTGATAGTTGCTTTCCATAAATTGAGTTCAATTACATGTTGAATTTGGGGAAGGAGGTATGATCTCATACCCTCCTGCTCACTTACTGGCTATGTATCACTGTTCATGTGAACTCTGACTTCTTATAAACAATATGTTATGGTAAGCCTCTACAATAAAGAGAATTCTCATCTCCCATTTTTGTGTCTTGCTTAGCATATCTTGTAAGGCAACCTGAGTTAAAACATAATTATTTTTTAACAATAAGAAGCGCATATACTTTGAATTGATTGTAGTTGTGATATCAGAGGTGATATTTTGATGATGCTTAAATATGGTAATTGCTCCAGTAATTGTATAAAAACCATACATTATCATTAATGATAGTGTCATTTTGTAACCACTTATAAAGTCAAAGAATCTTAATACATACAATCAAGAGGAGATACAAAAAAAGTATGCATTTATTACTTAATTGAAATGACACTATAATTAACGATGATTTATGCTTTACAAAAAATTACTAAAATAGTAATTGCCCTGTTTAATTTAAGTCAAAATATTATCTCACTGATTTTCTAGCAAGTTCGCAATCTCAACAGTACAAACAATTTGAAGTACTATGATTAATTGTTTTAGTGATTCTGAGCACATGAACCAATAGGGTCATTCATACTGTAAGTGTAGTGCATGTTTTTGCTCTGGAGATGGCAGTGGTCTTTCCCCTCTGTATGGTGAGATCCGGCTCTGACCTACCGTCAGCTAGTGGAGTTTTCATTAACCTGGTATCTCCCACCAGCAGGACACACCACCTCAGCCTGGCCAAGCTCCTGACATGTGTGCTTGTGTATTGAATGTTAGTGTAAGGGGAGAGGATAGAACAAAGAAGAAATAGGAAAGATCGAATGCGGTCCATGGCCTGTTTGGTAGGGTACTGTTCTGGCATTCACCTGGAGTTTATCAAAGAAACCACAGAAAACTACCAATCAGAGCAGCCGGCTGCTAGAAATGGCTGCTAAAATTCTCCTCCAGACAGCAACTGAATTCGACCTGACAATGTAGTGCTGAAAATCCTGCCACCGTCGGGGCTCGAACCTAGGACCTCCCGGTCAGAGGGACTGCAGTAACATCAGTTGATGCCCTGGGCCATCTCTCCCGGTTTGAAATACTATGAAATTTGCTTCTCATTGAACCAACATTGTTTATTGAAGTGTTTCAATGCAGTTAAGAAACAGCTATCCCTGACACAGTCTATATCACAGTAGTATTGACAAAAATCTGATTCAAAACACTGGTTTGAGACACAAAATGTGAGACACAAAGATGACGGATGATAATATGACTCTCTAGAGCTGTAGTGGGTAATTCTGGACTAGTTATTGTTTACATTATCGAAAATGGGTGGATAATGTAAACAATATTGTATGTATAATTCATAACTCATTTTGCTGGTGTGGAGTTGGCCATTTTTCATATCCGGTGTAAACTAATACACAAAACTCAAATTAATGAAATAATATGAAAATATTTTTACAGTTATTTAAATACTATTTTTAAAGTATTTTTTAAATAAAAAATTGATAAAAGCTTTTTAAGCACATTTTGCTTTTATTACAATTCATTCCGTTCCATTGTTATAAAATTAGGAATAGGAGACTACACAAAATTAAAAAGCATTATTGTCTGTTATAAATCTAGTGACTTGTGATGGATCATCAGCTGGACATGGTTTTTCAATCAGGTGAGTTATGAAGTTTTTGCTACTGAAAAGCTCTTGATTGGCAAACCACATCACGTCAAATGATCAGCCACAAGGCACTGTATTTATATTGGATAATACACTGAAAGAAAATCAGTTGCACTGTCAGAACACTTGGAAGATTCATTCAGGACTGTATAGTTTTTATTGGATACAGCTGTGTCCAATGAAAACAGAATACATTCCACAAATTTTCCAGAACAAGACTACTTAATGCCATTTTTCTACAACTATAAGAAAATCAACAAAATATATAACTGAAGGGTCTAATATCATAAAAGTTTACAAAATATAACTTAAAACTATTTGTGACTTACTTGACAGGAAAATTGACAATAGTTGGATTCTTTTCAATAAAAAATGTGTTCTTTGTAAACCGCTGAAAAGATTAATATATTTTAGTATAACAATACAAATGTAAATTTCGTGTAAACAATGCTTACAAACTTAAAAAGTAAAACTACCTTAATATACAGAATTAAATAAGGAGGAAGTTGTGTTATTTCAAATCTCTTCATAAAATTTTCTTTGTATGTCTTGTACTCTTTTTCCATTTGAGCATTAAATTTTTGGAGAAGAGTATAAAGGTTCACCTGTAATAAATGAGAAACACTTTTTAAAGAAAAAGTGATAATAATAACACTACTCATGCTGATCTTTTACCCCTAAATTGACCATACGTCTAAACCTAATTTTAGTTGACCAAGTTCAAATATGCACACAATGTTTACGTGAAATGCTTTTATTCCAGTCTTTAGAGGGTGTCTCTTGGTAAAACCGACAAACTAATAATGTCTTATATTAGCAACCGTACTACCCATGCACGTTAATTTAGTTTCATTTTGTAATGGAAAGATGTCATTACTCGAACACACAGGCATCGCATGCATTGTTGAAGCTCAATGTTCCCTATGCAAGGCCTAACTCTGCAGTGCATTTGTCGATCCCCTGCAGGAGCGGTCTTGATTGAGAAAACCCTCACAGTACTGAGAGTGTGTGTGTATATAAGTGTATTAGTATGTATGTGATACACAATTGTATCTTTATCATTTTTATTCTATCATTAACCATGTCACATGGTTGCAGTCAATACCATTATTTACTATGGTTCTTGCCATTTCACATTTCAATGTATGCACCAGCACCAACATTATAGGAGTAAGTCGACCATTGTCCAAAATTTGTCTTTCTTACATCGTTAAGATGAGAAAACATTCACTGTATCTGTCACAATATTAACATGTAAAAGCAGATTGAAATATAAAAAAATCAAGTAACCCTAATAATCTGCAGCATATTAATTTAAAATGAAAAAAATAAATATTTTCTAAATAATAATCACTATCTTTACTTACAAATTCAACGTTAACAAAACAGTAAACATGCGCTACGCGGCATGCATATGAATGGAAATCAGTCTTCCTTATGTGTAGGGAATTCACTGGCCTATGCACAATGTGCATGCGGCAAGTATGGGTAAAGTCAAAGCCTTTGTGAAATATTAATGAATGCTATGGCACAGCTCGCTAGTGCTGTACACCACTATTGGCCTTTTCTCAGAATACAATGCAAAGCGAGGCAGCGCCTGGGTGTGCCTACCCTGAGAGGTGCAAGCGGGCACAGGTCTCAGTGGAAAGAGATGAAACAGTTCGCGTGAAGCACGGGCTGTTAGAAAACGTTTGAAGTGGAAATATGACTCATGCCACAATAATGAAATGTTAATAATACTTACACCATATGAAAATTGTAAGTAATTTAATTTTTTTTACTATGAAACGCATTAAAATAGTACATATTCACCAGGGAAGGCAGTACCTTTGTACCCTACCCTAAGAAGCCACCACTACTAGAAATCCAAATACGCTAGCGTCATAAACACTTTATAAGACATTGATCGATTGATTGATCACCCACCATAAGTTCTAAATAATATACTTTTTATATTAAAAACTGACTGTCAACAACAGATTAGGTGTTCCTTAATTGATCGTGGCTGCTTAAGTCCAATTTTAGTTATCTCAGGTTGGTAGTCTTTACTTATTGAAATAATAATAATAATAATAATAATAATAATAATAATAATAATAATAATAATTATTATTATTATAATAACAACAACAAAATTGTCTTTTATTAGTGGTAAGGCTGAGGCCATTAGGCCTGCTCTTCTACCTAACCACGTTAAATATTTACATTATTTCATATACCATAAAGAAGATCAAGGGGGTAAGGAACTTTAGTTTTACTTCTGACAGTTACTGTCAAAAAATATAACACTATATTTATAGGTATTTTCTTAACTCCACATACAAAAGAAAAGAAGATGTACGGAAGCCACATAAAACTAGTACCAGACTTTAGTGACTGCCATTATAACCTACATGGTAAGCAAGAACTTAAAAATTGTATTAAATTTTCAAATTTTATTAAAATAAAAATTGTATTAAATTTTCCTAAAAATTATACAAAATTCTCCCAATTTCTACCACCTCCACAGGGATGTGATCATTCACGAAGAACATACATGCCTGCTATTAATTTATTTACAACAAACTCCTTTATTATATACATTTTAAATAATATGATGAAAGTATGCGGAAGAAATCTTTGCTCAAAACTATGCAATTTTAACTACTGACTTATCTGATTTTTGAAAGGCTCTGACTGCTCATGAGAATACTTTATGCCTATGAGAACACGTGAATCTCATGATTGGTGGTTCTCGTTGCCCCAAGAGAAAGAGAATCTCTATCACCACCTTACATTGGTGTTTGCCCCTCCACAACCATTCTCTCTTCTTTGGCCAGCGAGAATAACTCATGCTCCCGCAAGAAAAGAGAGAGACTGAATGCCAGTTTGACCGTCTGTTGAATACTTGTGATTTTCAGTAACTTTCACCTAATCTTTAACCTGCAAAATTCATTACCAGTCACATTTTTGGAAGCGGTCTGTCAATTCTCAAAAATTGATTTTATCTTGCTTGCGTCTCTGGGGGACACAAAGCTCTGCACACCCTCCATGCAAAGCAAGCGTTGACAAGCAGAGCCAATTGGCGCACCGCCAACTGAGCCCTTGTGATAACCTGCATTTTTTGTGACACAATCCAAGAAGGTACAATCAACTTTTAAGAGGATAAAGCATTACTAATAATTCCAGAAATCACCAGAAACAAGATGTGCAGACGTAAATTTGCATCTTAATCATTTTTGGTCTGTGTATTGGTCAATGACAAATGATCAAGTTGTTGATTCTGAAAATGGTGGTGATTTGAATGTCGATGTATTGCCAAATACTAAATAATAATTTCATCTGGTTTCCTTCTTACTATTTTTCTAAATTCATTTTATAACATAATAGTTAGGGAATCTAATCTGTTCGCTTGTCATAAAGGTACTGATGTTATGGTACTTAAGTTATGTTCAGACAATATATAGACTGCTTTCAGCATATAAAGAATACCAGAATATATTGTATAATTTTTTCATTAAAACTAAAAATTTACATTTTATTATTTTTTTTTTAAATGACCAGCATTCATAATAGAGCAAGCTCCTCCCAAAATGGATTAGTGGCTATATTTGCAACACTTACTTTGCCACCCTTATTCAAAGAAATAAATGAATTATAATATTAAACAGTATATATTAGAAGTAATGCAATAAATATTATTTTTCTAACAACTTTTTACAATAAAAAAAAACAAAAAAAAAAAAAAAAAACTTAGTATCTCTAAGGGGGTTATAGCAAATAATTATGGGAACAAGATGGCACTCTTACAAGCCCCCTCCCTACTAGTTGCAATACTAGTTCAGCAAGTATCATACTAAATGTAATGTTTGTTCATCGGCAGTTCATGCTTAAGTTGCACAACCCCTAGATAATCGAAAAATATTTTAAAATATGTTAGGAATATACAATCTCATTTTAATGATATTCAATATTCAAGATATTGCAGCAATATTGATGTATGTGAAATCATTTTGAAACCAAAGAGCACCCAACTTGCCCTCTGTCCAGCGTCTGGTGCCCTCCCAGGTATTGCACCACTCTCTTGACTCTTGCATTACTGCATTTACTCTTTGGCACTACGCTTCAAGGCCCATCGAAGCGGCAACCAATAGGAGGGGGCTTTGGTCGCCAAGCGCAGCGTGGTGTCCTGAAGGGAATCCCAATTTTCGGTCTTCATCTGATACTAGCTGTAACTTAATTTTATGAATTTTGCATGTTACTGAAAGTACACAAGTTCAGTCAATTATTGATGGCATTGAACAAATTATTATGATGTTTGGAGAATTCATTTTCTTTTGCTTTTGATTCAAAATGTACATCTGATTATGAGTCCATTGTGTAAAGTTGGCCATTCTGGAAGGATCTCCCTTTCTGTCGCTAATGGTAGGTGCGTATTTTTAACAGAGAAGGAAATACTGTTTCCCAAAGTTTCAAAAATGTAACTACTGTAACATGTAATAAAATGTAACATTGTCGTACTGTATCATGACGCTGCCAGGGTCAAACAAACTGCTATATCTCAAAAACTCTTTTACCTATAGAGTTAAAAGGTGTTTGAATAAGTTCTTACTGTTTTTTTGTAGAAATTAATACTTTGTTTAAAGTATACGGTACACAATATGTCACTAAAAGCATATCCAACCACTAGCCACTACTTTTGTTTATCTTTCTGACAGTAAATGAATTCCATGTTGGAAAAACATTACGACTTTTGAGACTATCTAAGAATCAACCCATTTTTTGGTATCATCAAAATATAACCGGACTTTTACTACAGACTTTTTTAATGTGTCCTGCTGTACTTAATTTTATATATCTTCCAACTGTATGCCTCCGTAACCTAAAACGTCTTTTAGTGAAATACTCTAATCTATAATGATGTAATGTAATGTAATCTAATCTATACTGCTCTGTAATGTAATCAAATAATCTCTATTGCTACTGACACAGCTTAACGACAGAAAGATATATTATAATTTTTATGTAAAATTGGAACAATTGCAATAAATTTGTCTGAATATACCTGATATGTTCCACACATTCACCATTAACATTTTCTAATTCTCTTCCAGATAGGTTAAAGCAAAACTCTGATTTACTACCTACATTACAATGTCAACTAGCAATCTTACCTGAGGTATTATATTTTCCCTAAATTCATCTTTGAAAAGAGGAGGTGGAGGTAAATCACATGTGAGGTACAGAAAAGGAGATTCAGTCTGCTTTTCTTGATACTCATCCATTAACATAAGTGCCTCCTTCTGATCCTCCTCCAGTTCAATAGGAGGAATTTTCCGAGTGTAAATACGCATCGATCCCAAAAATGTCTTGTAAATGATGGATGAATCTTGCTTTTTAGATCCATTTAAGGCCAAATGTAAGGCATTTAGAAACCATGAAAGAAAATCGATTGGATCCCCTGCAATAATAGGTAGTTGTGTAATAATATATACTAAGCCAGCACATCACACAACAAACATCAGCCAACCTTGGCAGGAGAAAGACTGTTCAGCCCCTACAATTGAATTCAATCCCAGTTGAGGTAGATGCATTTTCAAAGGGCAGGAAATCTGTAATGGCCACACTTTGTTTACTCTTGCTAATATAAAATCCTCAAAGAATATTCTCTATCAAATAAATATCAACTTTTTATTTGAACGGCAAGTGAAATTATGTGAATGTGTCACAGAAAGTGGATAAGTAGACTTCCAATATTCTTTGCCAGAATAAAACTCATTTTCAGCATGGAGTTGGTCTTCATGGTATTTAATGTTTCAGAGAGTCAGAGTCGAGGCAACCAAAATCCAAAATTCATCACCAGAATGGTGGCAATGCAACAAGTGAGGGTGACATGCGAAGATGAGTCAGATCGTTTTTACACTAGAACACCCCAAATTCTGAACCAATCTACCCTGCCCAAGGGTGTCGTTCCAATGTCTTCATATTTTGAGCTGTTTTTTTTGTTTTTATTACTTTCTTAATCTTCTTGAGAATTTCTAATACCCACTAACATAAATTTTTTAAATTAAATATTTAATATTTAAGGAAATATACAAAGTAAAAAGAATGTCCCTAATATTATATATGAAATTTGGGAAATAAGATACCTAAACAATTATCTGTAAAGTTATCATGTTTACTATAAAACTCCTATTGATACACAATCGTTACTACTTTATTAGAAACTGAAGCTACTGCTACTGCTGCTGTTAAGTCACCTTCTCTAACAGCTGGCACTTTCTACTCGTTGTTGGATCTGTTATCATTTTCATTTTATTCAGGTGCTCCTCAAACTTCACCCAAGATATCATGCAAGATTGGAAGAAACTTAGCAGAACTAAAATTTCTGTGATACAAATTTTAGAAACTCATCTACATAATAAACATAATTAATCACTACTTAGATGAGCTAACACTTTCCTTGAAAGCCGAAAGAATACTGAATCAACTTAGAAACAATTGCATGAAGTGAAATGTAAACCTGCAAAAATTTGTAACTGTCAAGACAAAAAACAAAATTAAATTGAAAAATGCAATGTTGCCGGTGTTGAAATGTGGTCTTGGGTGCTCTAGTGTTAAGAAAGGTACGTAAAATGTCTACGATGAACTGAATTCTGGTCAGCCATTTCCAATAGGAAGTATTCAACTCTCAAACTCACTTAATCAAGAGATACTCAATTTCAAACATGTCATCAGAATTTCCATGAACATTAACATTAGTATTTGTTTTTTTTACAATTGTGTCTCAGTAATTACTGTTCAAGAAATTGTGTAGTCAATTGGTTCCTACTGACTGTCACCATAGGTGGCAGAGTTCTATGAAAAGGGAATGCAAACATTATCATAGCATGATAAGTAATTTAGTTGACAAGGAAATTATGATATGACTGACAGAAATGTAGATATTATGTATACAAGTAATACAGAAGTTATTTAGAAACAGAATAACATGTACATTCAGATAAGAATGTTTTTTTTAGGAAATTTTACTTGCTTAGTTTTCTTTGCAAAACAGACCTTACTTGAAAATAATTAAACTTTGTATATCACAAAAAGTTTCAATGGAATAAAAAACTGGCAGATACAAAACCTTGTTCAGTGAATTGGAACTTCTTCCGACTCCAAAGAACTACTGCTTGTAACATTTCATGTGGAGATACATGTGCCTTAAAATTCCGAGGATTCCAAAGCTTACGCATTAACTCCCCAAATCTTTGCACAAGAAGAAAGGAACTATCTCCTGGGGGCCTCTTCACACGAGCATAATTAATTTCACGGAGGAAATAGTTTCTTAATGGTGTTACATGGGACAATGCCTGAAAACCAAAACCAATTATTACTTAATAAAACATATACATCTATATTATATAATATATTTCACATAAAACTCATATGTTTAAAAGAAAATTATTTTAAAATAAAATTTTAAAGAACTTATAAAACAGAAGACACACTGAAGAAAGGCCAGTATTATTGAGAATCAGTTAATCATTGAACTTACTGTAGTATAGTTGTTAACTAATCTGTAGATATCATCATCATGAACTGACCAGCAATTAAGCTTTACAGCCTGTTATTATTGGTTTATTACATTATTCTTGGTAGATTATTAGTCTTCCAAGTGTTTCTGCTGTTTTCACCTGTTTAGTGGTCTACCTCTATCTCTGACCCGCACTGGTTTGTAGTTCCAGATTAATTTTGGAACTCTGTTGCTCATTCTCAGTAAATATCTTTCCATCTTCTTTGAGAAACTTCTCTCTTCTACTAAATGTTTGGTTTTAAATTTCTTTCTGATGTCTTTATTTTGCAGCCTGTCTTTTTGTGTGATTCCCATAAGGTGTCTTAAATACCTCATATGTGCCACTCGTCGTTTTTGATTCTCTCTCTCTCTTTCATTACCCACGTTTCAGAGTTATATATGATTCTAGGTTTAGCAGCTATATTGTGAAGTTTCAGTTTTGTTTCTGGGCCCATGTCTTTGCCAAAGTGTCTCTTAATTGTTCCACATATTTTATTGCACTTATTAAGTTTGTTTTCTATGTCTTCCTGAGTTTGATTGTATACACTTATGATATTTCCAAGGTATGAACATTTATTAACTTGTTCCACTAATTTTCTGTTTATTACTCTTTTTTGTTCCTTACCTTGTATTTCCATAACATTTGTTTTCTAAATCGCTATCTTCATGAAATATTATTGAGCCTCTTTAGACAATTTAAAAACTGCTCTTTGTAAATTATCTTCAGGATTTATTATGATAGTTTGGTAACCAACATACAAGATTGTATCTATCTTCTTGTCTTTTGCGATCTGTATGCCTTGCCTAACTTTCCTTCTCTGGTTTCTCACTAAGTGGTTAATATATATGTTGAAGATGGGTGATAATCCACATCCTTGTCTTAAGCCATTGTTGGTTGTTATCGCAGCTGATTTTTTTTCTCTCTCTTAATAGTATTTTAATTCTTGAGTTCTTGTAGAGACTTTGTATTGCATTAAGGATTGATAACCAACTTTCTCCTCTTCTTGTATTTCCAAGAGTTTCTGTCTATTAACTTTGTCGTAAACCTTTCCATAATCAATAAATATTATAAAAGTTGGTAATTCCTATCCTTTCATTTGTCTATTGTATACATCTGTAATGTAAAGATGGCATCTTTAGTGCTTCTGTCTTTAAGCTTTAGCTAAACTGTATATATTGTACATCATTGCCTGAGCTTTTATATTTACCACAAACACCATTTAGACAGGAAAAGAAGTTGATTTTTTCTCAAACATAAATGATTACATCTGTGACAACACACTCCACTCCATCTCACTCTGCTTCACCCTCTTCCGACAACCGTCTCTTGTCCCCTCCTCCTGAGAATTGTGATGAGGAAGCAGTACAGTAGGGGAAAAGAGCATGGTGGGGCCCAAGGCAGCAGACATAATATAAAGCTCAATGTAATCTTCCTCTACAATGAATTACGGACTTTGAATGTTTTTTTTCTTTAGTTAAACATTCAATTGAAAAATTATTACATGATATTTTAAATATTACTAAACCATTTCCTGAACCTAAAAATGTTGCATGCAAACTTTGGATGCTGTAAGTTACAAAATACAGTTTACACATTATGAGAAATTTAGTTTCATAGAAAGATTATTAGGTTGAGGTAAAAGTTCATAGCTTTTGTCAGCTGAAATAGTAATTCATCAATAATATACTTCCTTCTGTTATCTATGACTCTCCCCAAGAGATTCAATAATTGAAGAAATCTGCTAATTTGGAGCTGGGAAAGTCATTCAGCCAAGTTTATAAAGAAACTGCATTCTAATTGAAGTTCCCTCAATGGTAGATCGATAGAGAATGAAAATTTAAGGGTGCAACGTCAAAGAATAGTATTCATCCCTTCAAAGATGCTTTTGTCATATTTTTGTTGCAGCAGCAGACATACTTTACAGCAGCATTTGAAACACGTCTCAATTATTTTTCTTCACGGGCAACAAGACATCTGAGTTGTTGATAGTACTAAGCCTATGCTTCAGTTCTATTCAATATTCAGCTATAATTTTATATTAGATTTACTGGAAATTAACTCAATTATCAAAACATTCTTTAAAGCAATATTCTCATCTCCTTAGAAGTTTTGTTATAGTTAAAAATAATCAAATTAAATACTCTTGGCGGCTGTAATGTAGTACAAGGTACACCCTAAGGAAGTTGTTTAAACTGACACTTCGCGCTTTTTCGGCTTTAACTAGGCAGTTAGAATTCTGGAGGCTTTCTTGAAAAGTGATGTCTTATAAATGTGAATTGGTAATAATGCATTTGATAGATTCAAGGATGTTTATAGTGAACGCGAGGGCCAAAAGCCCTAGCCTCGACGTGACTTGGATTCGGGTGAGCGAAGTGAGAAAACTCGCCTTTAAAAGTAAATTGCCGTTACAATGCAGCGGGGACAAAGCATATGAAGGGCAAACCATGAAAATCGCCTATCCGTAAGTTTTATTCATTTCTATTAGAGCACATACAGTAATTAGGGCTTAAGCCCTGCCACCATGCTTCTCTAACGGGCATAATGAATACTAAATTTTAACCCTCTTGGCTTTCTAAACTTCTTTTCATTGTTTTTTGCTCTACAAACATTTTTTTAATTTTCTTTTATGCAAGGAAGATTGTAGGCAATTAATCTTTCTGTTTATCATGATCTTTGTTTCTTATTGTGTCTGAACTAGTCAACATGGCTTGAGCTCTCCAATGCTACTGATACTTTTTGATGCTGTGGTATTTTTTTGCTGTCCATTTGTCATTTTTAATGCCACATCTTGTCAGCTATTTGCATTCTTCTCTTCTTCTTTCCTGCACTTTTAATGCTTCCTTTAATGCTTGCGGCAGTTTTTTCAATGTGCTGTAGATTTAAAGTGTCAATGTCTCTGACTTGTTTTTCTTGCATCTTTTTTTTGCGTGCTATATTACAAAATTGTGACTTTTATTAATATGAATTAAATTTCATATTAGTATAAGTGACAGGTGCTGTAAACTATGCAATAAACTAGTGTTTCAATCTATTCTGTACCTATAACAATATCATAATACGTAATATGCTTTACTCTCCCTCTATTTTCTCATTGAATATTTGAATTATTAGAAACTACACTTAAAAACATATTTTTTGTGAGAAGAAAAGTACAAAAATGCCTACAAATTCATAATTGTTTGACAACTTAATGAACCAATTTGTTTATTAATGAATATTTTTTTGTAATGCAAGAATAGCACAAAAGCCTCGCATTGCTTGCCTCACACTGCTTCATTCTGGGATCATTTTTTCAATAATGTTTTATGATACACTTTTCATTTCTTATGACAAAAAATACAACAGTAGATTGTCCTAACAAAGATTTTCAGAGAAAATTAGAATTTCACCGATTAAAAAAGTAAGGAATAATTTTTTATTATATATGATTGTTTTTTATTATCTCTTTTAAACTTACGGACATATTATAATTTATTAATTACATCATTTCACTAATATATTCTAATGTAATGTATAAAAGAATACATAATTCCATTTAAGTGGTTGTAAATAAAGGAAATTTAATGGTTCAATACATAATGGAAAGTATCTCTACAAAATTAGGAACCTTACCTGAAGAATCACATTACAATAGTCATTTGCCTTAATGTTATTGAGACCAACTATGCCAGGCAAATACATTGTTCCATCTATAGCTCTAGAGAGCTTATCACTAGCATCCATTGAAGATATCTGCTCAGAAGTGAATGTGGGATTTAAAACATATTTGATGTCATCTAATGATGAATCTAAAAGGCACAAAAGTACATGAAACTATTGAAGATATACAAAAAAAGTTAGCCATTTGCTATACACATATTAAAATTAAAATAATATTACCAATAATTTCATAGTTATCTGGCAAACAATAGAATTTCAAGGTGTGTAGATTCAGGTACACATGGTGACTCTCAGCCACACTGTGAGTGTATGCATGAGTATTATTGCCACGACCTAGAACATTTAATTTTAAACAATGCAGATGTTTGATTTTATGTACTATAACAAAACACCCAATTTACAGTAAAATCAAGAAATTTTTGTTCAAGTGGTTTTTTAAAGTTCCTTTTATATTAATACTACATATTTAATGAAAATTCTTCGATTCTTCCTGTATTATCACTAAAAATTAAAACGTTTCAAGAGACAATTGCAGTCAGTTTTTTAGGGGGATGCATCTGATCTCTCACAAAAACAGAAATACACACTTGGAAATGTACAAGTACAATGTGCATGCAAAAGTTGTGGAGTTTAATATCATTAATATTTTGAGGGTTAAATAAAAGTGCCAACTTCATTAATGGTACGGGTTTACAGGGGGATAACTTTTATAAAAGTTAACCTAATATAAAGCACAGAAACTATCTCCGATTTTCATCCATTACACAAATTGTGAAAGTGCATTTCTTACACAAAGATAATTAATTACCGGCTTTACTCAGATTAACTCTGAAATAAAAGTTTTGAGAAAGATCTTTAACATTCTGGCACATTTTGTCACACTTTGACCATATCATTGTCCTGAAAATGTCATTGGTGTCAACTAACAGCAGCAGTTAAAATACATTTACAAAACCAGTCTTGCAAGAGTTGTACGCTTAATGTACTGTTAAAGTTATACTCTGCATTGGGTCAAATACATATGCCTTCAAGATTTTATTTTAATACTTTTCAACTTCTAAATTACCTTGAAAATATTTTCCACAGACAAGACATGCATACACGTTGATACGAGATAATGAAACAGAACACAATTTCTCGAAATCAAAATCTAGAACCTGTCTGTTGATGGTATCCAGGTACGGGCATAAACGATATGCTTTCGTTTTGCCCTTTGGAAGTTCTGAAACAAGATTCAAGAAAAGATGGCTGAAAAATAACAAAGAGTACAAAATAGAATAAGATTTCTAAAATATTAATGAAAATTAAAACAGTAATTGTTGCTATTTCTTTATTATAAACATAAATATCATTTTCACTAATATGAAAATTATAGTTTCAATGATAGAATTATCGTTCAATAACAATTATTGTTTAAATTATCACTGATACCTAATTTTCATTAAGATTCACTCATTGTTTTAATATCATGGACTTTATTTTTATTAACGTTCATTTTTCATTAACATTTTGACCATCAGTGAGGATATTTACATATTTAGAATGACAAAATATGAAATATATGTGCGAAATAAATCGATATTTAAATTTAACCCACTAGAATCTTCGTCGTCTTCATCCTCCTCATGTTTTCCAATATCTGTGTCTTCCAATTTTCTTTTGAGACTTCCGTTGTTAACCATACTTTCTTCGACTTTACTAACAGCAGCCATTTTCACGCACGCATAAAATCACGCTATCTATGGATGGTTTAGTGAAATACATGAAAACATTCGAAAATTCGCCATTTTGGATTCTGTTCAAAGAGTAATTTGTTCTGACTGGACTGCCAATCGAATTAGAGCAAGATCCATTCTCTTTGGTTTGAATCCGCTTGGCCAATCGTGTTTTGGTTTTGTGGAAACTGGTGCAGTAAATTCTACATTCTCTCTGGTGCAGTGATCTGATCTGATAGTAGCTGTAGCTGTGGCGTGGGCAGAACGTTCATACGTGATTGTGTGTATTTAAGGTCTTGAGGTTAGTCTTTCATGCTTCTATATTTATTATAATAGTGTAGTAAAAACAGAGATTACCGGTCACTTTTTTCACTTGGTAAGCTTCTTAGGGTGTTTACATGCGCACGTGTACGGCCTCATAACCTAACCGGTGTCTTATGTGAGAAGGTAAACCGGTATCTTTTTGTTTTACTGAAACTGTTTTGCTTCCAGATTCATCATGTTTAGAGGCGGGCGAGGAGGCGGCGGTGGCTTTCGCAGTGGTGGCGGCGGCGGCGGCTTCCGCGGCGGCCGCGGACGAGGAGGTAGTTTGCCGTTAATTTTCCTCTTTACTTCTCAACTAATGAATGCATAACAAAGCCATATTTCGTGTTACAGGAGGACGACCTAGTTTTGGGAACCGCAGCTTTGATATGGGGCCTCCAGAACAGGTTGAGACATTAATTATATTTATAGATTTTTTTCATATTACTCAGGCTTGCCATTTGTGAAACGAGTAGAGAATCTTGCTTCATAATGTAATCCTTGTTTCCCTATACAAATGTTCGTAATTAACGATGCATGTTGTCCTGCTTCTCTAATTCTATCGTATTTGTAAAGATGCTAAAAACTACATTGACACAATTTTGCTTATCTGTGCAAGTGTTCTTGAGCCTACCCCTATTTTCTCCGATGTTAGTTGAATTAAAAACTAAAAGTGAGAGCAGTAAGGGTTGTTGATAAAATCTGTTCATAAGTTTTTGCCCCAATAGTTGATTATTTGCGAGGACTGTTATAAGGGTTCTAATGATCTAGTATCAATAAAATGCCAGAGGGCTTTTTGTTACCCAAGATCATTAGCATTAATGCCAATCGTACATGCATAATATTATTTTTAACCGACCTTTAGTGATTCAGATTCGCTAATTAAGTAGATGTGAACTTGACAGGGTGTTTCTTTTCACATTTCCCTACCGTAATAGAACATATAGCTTTTTTTTCTTTCATATTTCCCTTGCAACCACGATCCTTTTAAGGAAAATTGCATGTGTATATCAAAGGCAATAACAAGCAATGGGTAAAAAATAAAAAACTTTGCATGGAAATAGTTTTGATGTCATGTTTTCGAGAAAGTCATCCCCTGTCCTTTCCTCTCACTTCCAGCGAACGAGAGCTCAAGAAATCTTGTGTAGGTAATACAAAACTGTTGATCTTCCGCAATGTACTGTTAAGACAAATTATCACTTTGAAGTTAAGACTCTCATACTGGTAATTTTGTTTTTCATACCTATGGTGTTTGAAACTTATGAAAGGAATGTTTCAGGTTACAGAACTAGGTCATTTTATACATACTTCTCAAGATGATTTGATTTTGAAAGCCAAAATTGAAGATGTGCCTTTTTTCAATGCTCCTATTTATCTTGAAAATAAGGAACAGATAGGCAAAATTGATGAAATATTTGGTAATATAAAAAACTACATGGTATCTGTGAAGTTGGGAGAAGGATTAAAAGCAGAATCTTTCAAAAGAGGCCAAACAGTAAGTTTCATTTTAGGTGTTTAGTGACGTAATATAAAGAAATTATTGTGATGTAAATACAATAAATTTTCTTTTATCTTATATTTTTTCGATTTTGCAGCTGTTGTTATCGTAACCTGCTGCATTATCAAGATTTTTGCCTCAAGCTCCAGGACAGAAGGGTGGTAGCCGTGGTGTTGGCAGAGCGGGAGGCTTTGGTGGAAGGGGTGGGAGGTAGCCTGGTGGCTTTGGTAGTAGAGTGGAGCGGGAGGCTTGGTTAAGGGGTGGTGGGGGTTTTGGTGGTCGAGGAAGAGGGGGTGGTGGTGGCTTTGGACGAGGGGGTGGAGGATTCAGGGGTCGTTGACATGGAGTGTTACAATTGGACTTTTTAAAAATAAATTATATTGAATGACAATGGTTGTCAAGATGATTGTATGTAACCATATAAAAACAATTGATTTTGTAATATAAATGTATCATTTTTAAAAGTAGTTTTATTACAAATTGACTTTACATGCATTTCCTTACAACTTTTCTTCCTAATCATCAAATTTAATGTGCTTGCCAAGCTCACGTTCAGCACGTTTTAAGAGCTTGTCCCGTCCACGTACATTTACACGCACTTTATTTTTCTTCTTATATTCCCGATCTGTCCAAACTTTCTCCCAGTATTTTTTCTCAGACTTGCCTGCAAAAAGTAATATTATCAAGACATGTAGGGAACATTACCCATTCTAAAAACTATGCACCACACACTTGTACTATATTTAATGTTTTACTGCCACATCTGAAAGCTGAACCTAAATCATGATATACAATACATCTAGAATTGCAAAAACCTTGAGATTAATGGGAATGGTTAAAGTTCATGCACAAAGAACCAAGCTACAGCTAGGCATGTAGGGATATTAACATTGATGAAATGGACACCAAAATTAGGTATTAAGGTGGTTCAGTATTATGTTTTGAAGCCCAATGAAGTTTTCAAATTGTGGGACTATAATTGCTGAAAATGTATTTGAAGAGTTTTATATTTAATAAGATCTGTTCCAGTATGCTGTAGTGAATTGTGGCAATGACATCCTGTAGTTCACCTTAACACTTACTAGCCTCAACTATTTTACATTCTCTGAATTTTCTGTCACACTCATCAGTACAAGCAAAAGCACAATGCTGCAGGTATGAACATTGCCTACAAGTCATGAAGTAGCTATCAGTCTTCCTCTCTCATACTCATGTCATCACCTTGTTGAACTCATGTTACATCATTAATTTCATCATGTTATCCTACACGCAAAGCAACAACGAAATGGAATTTTTGTAGGGGCCTTCAAAGATCTGAGGTGCTAGTTCTAAGAGTTTTTGTTTCTGGCAAGTTTGAAGCGGAAAAAAAATTGGTTTAAATTTTAATTTGATACAAATACATGCATATTGTATAAAATCAACTAAAAATAGATATTTCAAATGCTGATGACGTAGCTACAAATACTTCAATCACAACAAGGCAGAAAGAGCTCATGTGCCAATCAGAGGGATAAAAATACAGCATGTGATATTGCATGAAAACCACTAAAAAAAAGTACACTACCTTAATCAAAGAACTAATAATGGAAAACAATGAAATTACTAATTACGGATTTTGAAAATGTCCAGGGGACTTCATGTAAAGTACCCCCAAATATTAAATAAAAAAAATTTAACTGGCTATGGAGGTCGTACAAATATATACGGCTTATAGTAAGATGTGAAGTGAAACTTCGATTTATTGCTCTGTGACAGTATATTGTTAGTAATCATCTACTGTTGATTGCCACATACTTGAGGGGTGCCATTCTAGCAGGCACTGCAGCAAAACGGTAAGCAGACATTTGTGTTTAATTTCTCAGAATCACCTCAGTGTCCTACTTTGTAACTTACCAGACGTTTATATAGAACTTTTTTGAGATTTCAATTGTATTTTTCAATTTATAATCTGACAAGTTTTGGGAGTTAAAAATGTTAATGAATTTAATATATACAGCAAATGAAAGAGCTTATTTTGTTCCTTCATGCCGTAAAATATTAAATTTCTGTCACTATTACAATCAAAGTTAAAAATGATTAACACGAGCAATGCAAGTATTTCTTTGAAAATTAATATACTCTTGAAAAATAATATTTGGAAAAACAAGAATGAAAAAATATGTTTCATAAAGTTTAAAAATTTGACATGGAATGACCCACAAGTGAAGAAAATTGCAAAAATTAGGGTAAAAACCAAAAATACAGGTTGATGAAAAACACTTGTGAATTTGCTGACATCGTATCAGAGATACACTAACCATGACACCTTCACTTAAAGGGTTGGCACTATACTAATGTTTGGCTCCCTCATGATTTAGAAAGGTAGTGGAGAGATCATACCCCATACCTGGGTGCTGGTGCTTACATTTAAAGAAGTTTGTGTGTATCTCACAGATACAAGGAAAGCAATCAAGTGTTAAAGACATAATTCTAATCACAGAATGGTTTTGTGAAAGAACATGTACATGTATTTCCCAACTCCTGCTTCTAATCTGTCAGTCCTGCACACCCACCCATCCGTATTTTCAGGTACAAATTTGAGTGTAATCTCCTCTCCACTTGCATCACTCTTAACCATCTTTGGAATAGTGCTGATTAGACTTAAATTCTGATGCATCTCCAGGTCTACTCATCAAACAAACTTAGAAAACGAATTTGTTGACAAAGTCTAGATTGTTGAAGTGATACTAAAGTAAACGGAGGTATACTGAAGCTCTTAAGCAATGACAAAGACTGATGAAATTTTTCTAAGAGTTACTTAATCAAGGCTAATTTTGGTGAGTAATTAAATACATCCCTTATAATAGTTTTTATTACATTAAAAAGTTTTGTTATTGTGGAAATTACTGAAAGGTAGTATTGATTGTTCACTTTTGCTGAATCTGGTTAATTTTAAGGTTACGGCTCCATCACAGTATTATTGAATTTGTTTTTGATCTATTTATTGAGAATGATGCTAACTTTGAATGTGAATTGCAGAGCAAAATACTGAAATTTGAATCATCAATGTTATATTTTATTCACTTTATTTTTAGAATTTTATAGTTCCTTTTTATTTTTATTCTTTTATGATGTTTTATGCTGTGATATTAAGTTCCTTACATATAATCTGTATAATTTTCTTGTGTATACAATTGGACAAAGTGTATGTTAACAAATAAATAAATGAAAAGAAACAATAAAAATTGAACAATGGATCAGGATTAAAACTCTTCCATCCTCTTCAAACCAAACTCTTAAGCCAACAAGACATGAAGATTAAATTCATTCTCTTTAGAAACTTCATTCCTTAATTCCTGAGTTTAATGGCCTAGAATTAACTTCAGATCAATTTCATGCATACTCCCAGAACCTTTTAAGTCCCTACATAAGAAAAGCAGAGGATTTGCAAACTTTAGAAAATACAGCAGTATTCTGCAACACCCTGCTTTAATGTGACAAAGAAGACACATTATTTTATAAAGAGACCTATTGAAATAATTTGATGTTATACTGAAACAAATTATGACACTGACGTAAACTGGCAATAAATTCAGTCACATAAATATAGAGACTCGGCTGTTATCTTTGACACTTGTCTCACGTAATACAGGTTAATTATGTAATGAGCTTCACTTCTTAAAAATTGACAATGGAATAATCAAATCTTTCAATGAAAATTGGCTGATTGAGCAGGTTTTATTGCATATGAAAATATAAAATTATGCATGATTTGGACTTCCTCCTTAAAAGCCTTGTTCATAATTAAAGAGAATGCACAAAATGTAAGTACATCAGTTATACTACCTTCAAGTATTTGCATGTTGTCCCATGGTTTTGTACCAATTAGCTTCTGTGCTACTTCAGCTGAATCGCAACGAATATGCACTTCTGAACTTCCTTCAGTTGCATCAACATATACAACACCTGGATGAGATTTTGCTTCCGTCTGTAAGAGAAGATAAACCAAATTAATTTTGCATTTAAGCAACCTGTTTTAGTCAATTGATGTCTTCAAAATTATTAGTATTCTCAATTGGTATAAACTGATATTCTCAAAAATATCACCCTGTAACTGACAACAAATGAAGCATCATGGCATTGTAAGTTAATTTTTTTAAAATTATAAAGTACCTTAATGCTAAAATATAGTATAGGTAATATATAAAATTAAAATATTTGTAAAACGTAAACAAGTGCCTAAGAACTTTCTGTTTCTCTTGAATCTAGATTTTCTCGATAATAATGTAGTAAAATCTAAGCCAGAATTCATCGGGTCACTAAACAAATTCCAGTTTAGGGAGGTTTCATTTTATGCAAAGTCATGTTTTATGACACATTGCTGCAGCCAAACAGCTAATCAAAGAGGTTGATTAGTGCAGCCGGCACCTGTACATGGGAGTGGGTCTCAGGAGGTTGGTGCAGGCGAGCTGGGTTAACAAGATTATGTTGCTGGCCAAGATATGTGGCTGGACGGCTTTGATAATTGTGTGGGGGAGTCATGGACACGTGCAGGAGGCACTGTACTTGTTATAGTTAAAAGGATTATCCTTAGAAACGTTATGAACAAGGAATATTTACTGTGTTACCAAGCTTTTTGAAAATAAAATAGTTATACGAAGTTGATAAGATTTTTTGATTGTGAGAACATAAAACTTGAGATATTGACTTTTCTGCTCAGAAAGAAGTCCATTACATGACTTTATAACTATCAATACACATGAACATGTAAGTTGTGGGAGTATGCATGAACATGTACAATACACATCTTACCGGCTGTATTCTGAGAGTTTGTCGACTCTCAACACTCAATGCATCACAACCCAGTGTTATGACTCTGATACTCTTGCATGGCCTTGAGCAATGCATCTCTGGCCAAGGGGTTATGATTTTCAATGCAGGACAGGGAGACCCGTGAAAAGAAGCCATGACCGTACACCTTCCCCTCGCTGAGGAGTAGAGAGGGAGAAAAATCCACTATGGCCTATGCCTCGAGAGACAAGCGACCACAGGTCAAATATATGTTCTGGTTAGGGCAGATCATCTTTAGGAAGATTCACTAAACATCTAATATTAAGAATAAAACACGGTCTCTGCCCTGAAAATAAAGTGCTTGGCAGAGGGTAAAACAATGCTGCAATATTTTTTCATTTGTTTTACTTTTCTCCTGCACAGACAATTTGTCGCTAATTTTGATGTAGCTCATTTTGATTTGGGAAAGCATGAGAAAGCTGTGAACTCATTGAATATGAACAAAGCTACACAAATAAGGTCTAAAGTTAGCATTTTGTAGCACCAATAATTAAAAGCAGATTAATGAAGTGTGAAACAAGGTAAGGTAGTTGTAAGGTATCAAATACCGATTTGAAATTTCATTAGGAAGTAATTGATAATTTATTACTCACTAAAATTAAACTATTATTAATCAATTAAAGAGAAATAATAACCATCATATTCCATTCTTTGCATCAGGAGGAAAGATTCTTTAAATTTTGTTTACCAGATCAAACATTTTCTGAGTTAACACCTTGTACTTCTTCACTTTATCAATGACTCTTCAGCTACTTTTTATTAATTTTGTTACATCCTACATTTTAAGACCATAGTACTGAAATAAAGAAGAATCTTGAGAATATTCTGCTGTATATTTTTGGTGAGTGTTTCACGATGGGATTTAAAAAAATAATCTATTGCTCAAAAAGATACACGATAGAACAACAGCCTAATTTAACAAATGGATGGGTTATAACCAGAACAGTATAATGACCTTTTATAAATTCTGAGAAATCTGTTTGTTAAAGTCAAAATCACAGTAAAGTCAAGGTGCTTTGTTTCATCATTAAAAGCAAAGCATTTCAATTGTTCATTAAAACTACGAAAGTACATTGGCACTGAAATACAGCTTAAAATAAACACATTTTTTCTCAGAATTTCTAAAATGTGAATGAATTTATCCCATTTTGGTTTTAACCATTCAAATATAGTGCTCCATAACAATCATTTCTCTACAAGAAAATTTCTTTATACTAAAAAAGAAAATATTACCTTAAAACCATTTACATCTCCCAAGGGTTCAGCAAGTTCCATATGGATTATAACACCTGGCATGTACTTTGTTTTCTTTTCTTTGGGATCTTCCTGTATTATTTGGTGCCGTTTCTCTTTGGCATGATGTGGAGGATATGGAGACTGGTAACTACTTCCAAATTTAACACGAGCCAGATGCTTTTTCAAGCCTTGCATTTTCTCTCGCTGGAGATTCAAGTATTTGTTGCGAAGACGCCGCCACTCATCTCTACCAAAGAAAATTTATTAAATAGTTGAAAAATTGTATTAACAAATAAACCATTATCGTTTAATACTTTTGTCGAAATACATTGTTACAATTACCATAGGGTCTTTCCCCCTTAATATTTCTTATGACTGAAAAAATTAACACTTCACAATGCACGATATCATTAAGTTTTAGAATAAGAAATTTTCCAAATCAAATTCTTGAAATGAATATCATTAACATAAAATTGTTATTGAACAATTACAAGTTTTAAGTTCTTTTTTCTTTAAATGTATTAAAAAGCCTTCATGATATTTAATAACAAGTATGGCTGATTTAATGTTGATTTTTTTTAAAACATGCAGAAATACTTCTGCATTTTCTACAGGCCAATAACAAAAACAAACCATGTATTCTCTTACACTCCCTTACATAAAAATATATCTTGCCAATACGAATTTGGAAATCATGAAATGAAAATGTTTTGGGAGTGATGTAATTAGAGATGTACCAGGTACTGAAGTTTAACACTAGAACACCCAGAGGAGTCGTTTTGACTCCAAGCCTTAAATGATACTTAGATAAATATTTTTGCAAAATTTCCTTTTAATATGTTACTAAAACATTATTAAAAATATCTTTTTACTGTGTAAGAGTAGTATTACATCTCAATTTAAATATATTTTACACATTTTATGTCATTGTTCAGCGGAATGGAACTTAAAACGTACATCTTGAACAGAATGTGCAAGTAAACAGACAAAATATTATGTTGAAAGTAAACTTTTATATACGAGTAATATTTGTGTAACAATAACAATAGAAACATTGTATTAACATTAAATTTTAAGCAATAGCAGTTTCACACACGTAACAAAAATATATTTTCTTTGCAATTCACATCCTATACTACCTTGCAATATGTAAAATTTATTTATACTTTTAACTTATTATAAACAAACATACATGTTACTAATTTGTATTAGTTTCACACCGATAGGAACTTTGTAGGTATTAGATGACAATTCTAAGATAAATTTAATCCCATGTTCTAAATGGCTCTCAGTTCTTGTTCAGGATTTCATTGTATTTATTTTTTCTACATTACTGACTTCACTACGCATGCAGCATAAAATATGTACAGTTGAAAGATTCAAACTTTTAATGACTTGTGTTAACCACAATTGTCAAGCACATTTTGTAGAATACAATCCAGACGTTTGATACTATAGAATACTATCCCGACATCTGCTTCGTATCCTGATGTAAGGTTCGTGACTACATTTTCCCAGTGTTTTCCTCTACTTCCTCCCCAACTCCCCTCCTACTATCCAAATATTTCCAATGAATGCATGCATGTTTTTAGTGATCATCAGGTCACAATTCTTTGCTGCTTTCATTCAGTTTTATGCCACAAACTCTGTAAATACATCAAGTTTGGAAGGAAAAAATCTGTTGCATCAATTATATTCCTCTGGCATAATATGGGTATTTGTAAATCAATAGCTTCATACAAAAGAAAAATATTGTTTCACATGAAATTAGCTGTTATTATTACTCAAATGTCTTAATTATTTGAAAATTATTAAACAAGACAGGCGAAATAAATATTTCTGACCAAATCATCACCATCTTGAGTCCAGAATTTCCTGCTGTACACGAAAATTCTGTTTCAAACTAATATTGATCTTCATCTAAATGATTTGAAGATATCACAATGCTTGTTCTTTCATGTGATAATAATTTGCTTTTCGAAACTCAAAAGTATTTGCAAGACCATAAAATAATGTAAACCAGAAGAAATGCTCACACACTTGTTCAGAAGGTATCTGAAATACTAAGAGACCCATTTAAACGTTTTAAATGTGGAAATATATGAAACCGAAGCTACAAGATTGGGTCAGTGTCCAAGGAGTCGAATTTATGCCCCATGGACATTCTAGATAAATTCAAGTATTTTTCATTAAATATATTTTTTTTACACGTTTCTATTCTTAACATACTGTAAATAAGTGAAAATGATGAAAAGTCACGAAAACACAAAATCCTACCTTCAAAAACTAAGAAGTTACAAGGGCATAAAGAAAGCCAGGAGTTGAAATGACTCCCCTGGGCATTATAGTTAAATGAATTGTGGATTTCTGAAAGAGATATACCATAAAAATAGGATTCTTTCAGATAGAAATAAAATTAATAAGAGAACTGCAATTTGTTCTCATTTGAAATTTCCACGGTATTTTCATGAACTGCACATGGGGCACTCCACTGTGCATACTAATGACAATTTGTCGATCCCTCTCAGAATCCACAAGTACTTTTCAGACCTCACTCTCTTTGGAATTAATGTTTATACAACAAGAACAATTTGTATACTCAATGAAAAATCTAGCATATAAATATCTTGATCAATGTGTTTTTCAATTTAAAGTGCACATTGCATACAAATGGCACACTTTTTAATTAAAATAAGCAAATCAAATACTTATTACAAGCGAGAGGGATTCCACTTACTTTGAGATGATACGAAGTCCCAAAGATGCAGGATCGTTTTCCTTTTTGTCTAAATTCTTCTTTTTGTTTTTGGCCCTCTTTCTAGCTCGTTGCTTCTTATCAGATTTCTCCAATACAGTTCCAGTTTCATCACAGAAATTATTTTCTTCATCATCACCTACTTCTTCCTCTGTCTGCTTCTGGATCTTCTCTGAAGTGCCTGTAGATACAAGTAGTCACCATGAGTTCAGGTGAGGCAGAGAGACAGTAGCCAACTATGCAGCAGCAGCATACCTTCATCATCTGCATCTTCCACGTCTTTGTCAGCATCATTTTCAACTTCACACCGTTTCTTCTTTTTACTCTTCTTTGGCTGCTGCAAGTCATTGCAGTCTTCTAATTCATCTTCCATTTCTTCTGGGTTTCTTTTTGCTTCCTTTGTATCATCCTCTACTTGATACTTTTTCTTCTTATTTTTGACCATTGTTGATACTTCACTTTCTCCAGTCTCCTCTTTTCCCTCGTCAATTACTTCAAGATTTTTCTTTTTCTTCTTTTTATTAGAGACATCATCAGAGGCGGCTTCTCGGTTGCAATATTTTCCCTCCTCGGACAGATACTCAGCATTTTCTGATTCATGCTTTCTTTTCTTATTTTTCTTGGTTTTGCCTGATTCGGTATTCTCACTTTCTAACACATTGTTTTCTAGGTGTTCTGACTGGTTATCTTCTGAATTTAGCAGATCCTTTTTCTTCTTCTTTTTCCTAGATATTTCCCCTTCCTGGTGCTCATCAACTTCAATTTTTAACTTTTTTGACTTAGGCTCTTCATTTTCTGCTACTTCTTTCTCATGCTCAAAACCATCTTCTCTTTCTCTTATATCTTCACTATTCATTTTATTTTTTTTCTTGAGCCGTTTCTCTGGCATGTCAGATTCACCTTTGTTATTCTCATTATGCTCTTCTGAGTCATCTGCTTCAAAGGTTGCAATGCTGCATAACTCCTCTGGATTCATTTGAGGTGGAAGGCAACACCCAGCAGAGCCAAAAGCCTGTAAAGAACTGATATTTTGTAACATCTCATAATATATTTCTCATGCTAACAAAAGAAAATGAGCACTTTGATCATATATTGGGCACAAGAACATACATTGGGATCATATACAAGATATACAACAGCCATAAGAGGAAACTAAATAGCACAACTTTAATTAACATTAAATCATCTTTTTGCATATACACTAAGTGAACACTTAAATAGTTTTGTTAATAATGCATAATTCATGAGAGATAAAACATTTTCATAACTTAGACATTTTTACACCACTCTTCTTTTATTTTACACAGTATTTCTTTCTAAGGCATTGATTTAGAAAATAATTAGTTAATGAATTTGGCTGATTGATGCTGAAAATTGAAGAGAATAGAACATTCATTAAAAATCACATAGAATCATTGAAATATTTGTTTGGAAAGTCTTATCTGAAAAGAAAAACTTAAGAGAATTCCATAACACATCATCTTGTTTTAGAATTTCTATTTAAACAATTCACTATTTTACTTAAAATACTTTTGTCTGCTGTGATCTCTATTACAACAAGTTTGTATCAGGAATGTAAGTATTAGAAATCTCAAACTGTTGCAATGGATGTTCATAAAAATCAACAACAGTTTTCTGAAAAATGTAAATGACTTTTTGATTCATGTAACACTGAGGAATGTCCAAAATAAGATTGAATATTAGCAGTAAACAAATCACACAGACATAAAATGCAAAGGGTTTTGCAGCTGACATGAAAAAATTATTTAGAAATCTGAACAAATGCAATTTTTTTGCATCAAAGAAGGTAAACAAATCTTGTCCATTAATAATCGTGCAAAAGATAAAAAGCACGTACAGATCAACAAATAATAAATATTTACAAATAAGTGAACATACAAATTGACAATTTCAGAAGTTCTTCTGAATCTGAAAACTTAAAATGTAATACATTATATGTGAATGATTTAGGATGGAGTGCTAGTTCATAAATTTGTTTCAACAAAAAATATGAAAGAGTTAATGAATACATTTAAAAGGAACAGAAAGAACTATCATAGTCATAAAAAAATTACAATTATATTATTAGTGGTGCCATATGTTAGTTCTAGATGTTTGATGTCACAAAGACTGACGACTTTAGAACAAGCACAAAATTCAAGTCAGAAAGGAATTGAATGTTCTTGAGTGATGATGTAAAACTGGCCCAAGCAATTTTGGGGCAGAGAAGAAATGGTACGCTGCAGCAGAGTTGTATAATTGAGCGGATTGTTTGATGTAAAAGGAGAAAGGTCATATTAGCAGAGTTAATTGAGGACAGTACTGTGAAAAACTGAATGGACTAAAATATATGGGAGAATGAATACCGTGAATCATCGGTATAGGATTGGACCCGAATGATGGATTTACGTTGTTTTGAGATGTGAAGAAGACATAAACATACGTATCCTTATTTAAATTCTGAATTAACATGACATTTTGTCATTATTTCTGTTTAAAAGAATATTGTACAATATATGTGTACATATTGTACATTACAAAGCGGAAGTCTACAGGGCTCGATTCTGAATTTTGTGATTGATTATGATTAATAAAGTTTCTGTCAATTAGTTTTCAAGTCCTTTTTCGGTTGGTCAAATTTTTTTGAGGGGGCCCCCCCACTTCAGGTTTTAACCCGTGGCCTCGGAAGGGCTAGTCAGGCCACTGAAACACAATGAGTAATATCAAACCCCTAAGACATGACTTCAATTTTAATACTTCAATCTCAAAAATCACTGTGATAGATATAAGAAGAAAAACTTTAAGCTACTCCACCGTCAATCAAAATTCAGTTCAAGGAGCACATCAAGAGCCAGGTCATACTTCACCCCTTTGTTATACATTTCAAATATAATAGTCATCTAAGGCACACAAAGTAATAATTTCTCAAAGACAAAAGCATGGTTCAAATGTAGTTCTCCTCCTCCAGAAACATTTGACTAAATTTCTGGAAGTTGAAATAGGTAAGGTTAATAAAGTAATATATTTTCAAGATGGAGCAAGCGCTAAATATAAATTATTTTAAGTTTTCACAAAAACAATGTTGGTATGAATTCTGAATGGCATATCTTGGCTACATCCCATGGGAAAGGCCTAGTAATAGAATTGGCAACACCAACAAAAGATTAGCTCAGAGAAAATCTGCAGCCAATTACGACATCACAGAAATTATTCTGATGTGGGCAAAAAAGGTTAGTGGTATACACTTTGTCTTTTTGGCAAATGACGACTAGGAAAAAGAATGTGACATATTGAAATCTCAGTATGAAAAGCTTAACCTAGTTTATCAAAATACACTTTTGATAGATCTATTTTATGCCACTGTCCTCGAACATGACATGTCTTGCTGCGAAAGTTTAATTGATTTCAACTGTATTTATCAACACATCCCATTCTGAAAGTTTGGATAATTATACAGACAAAGGTAGAGAAGTAGTTATAGTATTAGTAGTAATAATAATATAATAATAATAATACATAAATAAAATAATTAATAATAATAATAATAAATTATATATAATATTTATATTAATGTTTTTTGCAAACTTGGGGGGGGGGGAAGTTCACAGCATTTTCATTGTATAAACATAATAATATAAGATGCTGTGGATTTTACTGAATGTTAAACATACCTCTAATGCCTTTTTTGCAGCTTCTGGTGTATCAAATTCAACAAATGCAAATCCTTTAATGGTAGCTTTATTTCTATATTTTGGAATGGAGACATATTCTACCTTGCCATAGGCAGAAAAAATACCAATTACCCAATCATGATTTGCATCTGGAGGAAGTTGTTCCTGAAATTTACAAATTTAAAAATTATGCAAACAATGCAATTTACAACTACAATGGTGAGTAAAGTCATTCAATAATTTCAATAAACAAATGTCAATAACCATAGAGTGGAATTGTACTTACGACATAAATTATACAATCATCTTGATTTTCTTTTATTTGAACCGCACTAGAGCGGTAAACACATTTTCCATCATCAGTCAATTTCAAAAGTTGAGAAGAACCCAATGCTTTGGCTATTTCCTCTATGTTTTCAGTGAGTGCTCTTATTTTATTGAATCTCAAGAAAACTTCCAAAGGTACATCTATTACAAAATAATTAACTTTAAAAAAGTTTTCAATCCACTAGTAGAAGCAATGCAAAATGAATGTCCTTGCATGCAATGTATCTGTCAGATACCAGACATTTTCTACATGTTTAAATGAAAAATCACTTTGTATTCGACATTCATATGATATTTAAGATTTACTTAATAGCATTCATGAAACATTGATCTAAGACTCTATATACACATATAACCACTCAGGCAAGAGTGCACTATGTATATCATTCAAGACATAGCATGGAAGAGAAGTTTCAGCTTGTTCAGAGATTATAATGAAAACTATTGTTGAAAAAAATGATGTAAAATTACTCTGAAATGAACACTAGGAGTATACAAGAATTCTCAGGTCATTAGAAGATTGTGACATCTAGTTAATTAAAAATTGTTACAGCTGGATTTCACAGTTACATAGCGTGTAAGGTGCTAGGTATAATAAAACGATTTCCAAATATTAAAAATGAAACCTACTTTTATTTTGTTCCAGGAGTTGGGATAAAAATCTATCGCGGCTCAAATTTGCGTTACTGAAATAAAATTCCATTTGTTGTAAAATTTGTCTGTATATATGTTTCTTTCTTGGGCGTTTCTTGATGCTTGTTTCTGCAACATCCTCAGTCATTGTATTATCATGTTCGATATCATCCATGTTGCAGTTCGTAAGCCGCTTGGCAGAAATCTTTAATATTCTAATATAAAAGAGAAAAATTACCTATGAACATGTGTTACAGAATTTCAACATCACTTGAATAATGCGCCAATAATGCACCATAACACTGACTTCTTTTCGCTAAAATTAAAAAAAAGGAAAGTACGAACGAAAAGGTACTTACATACAGAAGCGGCACGAATGATATTGCGTATTCTCTCACACCGACAGAAAATCAATGCTGTACTTCGTTAAAATCAAGGATGCTGTTTGTACAATAGTGCAACTCCGTAAGCCAACAATTTACTATTACTGATCACAACAGAATTCACACAAAGGTGGAAATCAGTAGATAGATCGGACGACAACGCACTGTACATACTAAACACATTAGCTGAGTGAGTAAACTGGGTGAACACCGGTGCCGGCTACTGGCAATGGAATATTATCCCACGTTTACGACGACGCCATCACTTTACTACCATTTCAAAACATAAGTAATGCGAAACACATCACGCATTCTACTTTACCACCCACAACCAAACATTGGTTAAAAGTTGAAGTATTGTAGTTAAAACTGCGAAATTTATTAAATAGTTTTAGAAAGCTGTCGAAAAACAATACGAAATAATAGATGTAAATTACGAACAAATGATCGGCAAAAAAATCCTTATTCACTTGTTATTCTATGGAGCTTCTTCTTTGGTGTAGAAACGCAGCATCGCGCAGCATGTTTTGGCATTACATACGGTACGTACGGATGTGGTTGTATTTGAATTAGAAGAAATCAGCATGTTTATAAATTGGACGAACATGTGAGAGAAAGAGCTGTTGTTCCAGAGGTATTTTAACGCATTGTGGTGGTTGAGTGGTTATTATTTTCTTGGTGTAGGATCATCTGTAGTGAAAATGACGAAGAGCACTCGGAACGATCCATCAAAAACATTAACTTCAACGAAAGAACGAAAAAGAGCAAACGTCGTTAGAGTATCCACAGATTGCGTCGAGAAGCTTGTTTCAAGTGTAGTCGACGTAGCCTTGCAGGATGATATTATCAAGTTTTGTTCGTTGAGTTCTGTCGAAGAACAATTAAAACTTATCAAGTGTATGTGCGGTTCGTACTTGAAAACTACCGGGAGCCAAGAGAGCTATCGTGCTTTCGTAAAGTTTACTGTGGAGATTTACTTGTGTTCGGAATCGAAGAACCCAATAAAAAATGCTGTCCCTCGTTTGTTGACATCTGCACCTGCCTCACTGCACAGCGACATTGTAAAGACGCTCTCTGAATGTTTTGCAGAAATGCTTGCAAGTGCGCAAAATGAGTTTGACTCTGTTGCATCGCCTACAACAAACGCCATGGACACTGTTGTGAGCAATGTCGTTATCATTGCTAGCAATTTTATTCTTGGAACCCAAGCAATAATGATACATTTCAAGAGTTTTCTTATGTTCTTAGTTAGATCTTTGGAAGTTTATCTTGGTGCCCTCAAGACTGAACGAGCTGCTTCTGTTAGGGAGGACTTGCATCGTAAAGTTCATAATGCTGCACGTGCGATTCTTCTACTCCTGCAGTGCTGTCATAATGGCAAAGGTAAATTTGTCTGCTCACCTGATTCAGATCTCATTCAAACTACAACAGGTGGCGTGACAAATGTATTAGAAGAAGTTGGGCCCCTCTTGCAGCATGCATTGTGTCAGCTTTTGATGCAAGAAGAACTTCCTCTGGATGTGCGTAATACATGCGCTCTGTCACTGATATCATATTGTACTTTATTAACTTCGAAAGCATGGCGACAGTTGGTTTTTTTAGCAGGTGGCCAAGATGTTCCTGGTTGCTTCCCTGCCATCTTAGGTACCACAGAATTAGCGCGCCTGTCGCTCTGCGTCGGACTACTGGGAAGCCTTCCAGTCGCTGACTTGGCTGCTCCTATAGGGTGCCTTCCGGTTGAAAAATCGCCGTTGCGTATGATATTGGAATCTCTGCTGGTGCTGGCAAATAAGAAGCCATCGCAACCTATTCTTGAGTTGGGCACAGCGCGCGCGATAGGCCAAATATTGCGCGTAGTCTCCTCTGTTATTAGCGTAAACGAAGTTGGATCTCAATTTCGGTCGTTAGGGTTAAACGAAGGACAAAACAGTAATGGATATCCAGATGAAGATGAAACGGGAGACGGTACAGAAGACGCCAGTGTCACAGACGCCGTGCGGGCTCTTTTTCTGGACACCGGGCCAAGCGTTCTCCCAGTTTTGTGGATGCAAGTGGAGCATTCCATGGACGCCGTGCGCCACACCGCCCGAGGGGCCATCCAAAGCTTCGTGTCGATCGCGGAAGCCCTCGAGAGCAAGGGCGAGCCGCGGCCTGCGGTGGCTCTGCGGGCGTCCCTCGCGGAGCTGGCTTCGTTCCGCCGCGCACGCTACCTGGCGCTGGCGGCTGCTGCGGCGGCCGGCGGCGGCCGGGCAGCGTTCGCGGGGGCGCTGGCGGAGGCGGCGGGCGCGACGCCGGCGGCGCTCATGCCGGCCGCGGCGGCGGCGGGCGATTGCGGGCCGTAGCGCCCACGCGGCCGCCGCCTTCGAGGCGCTGCAGGCAGCCGAAGCGCGCCCGCGACGCGCGCGGCTGACCGCAGCAACGCTGGGGGGGCACGGCTGCAGAGCACCTTCGTCGGAATGCTTCGTGAGCAGAAGCAGCGCACAGAGAACTTTGTTATTCTCGTAGCGATCCTGAGGGCGCTCGGCCGCCAGGCAGCGCAGCCCGTGGCACGTCTCCCAGAGTCGCCGGGCGCGCGTTGGCACTGCGCGCGTGCCGTTGCGCGCCCGCTGCCCTCGAGGAGAGCCTGTACGCCCTCGCCCTGGCACTGACGCAGGGCGCCGCAGCGCAGCCCGCACACGGGAGCGAGACTGGGAGTGGCTGGCCCCGCAAGGGACCGTAGGTTGCCGCCGCTTGCGCCGAAGACAGCTCGGCCGGTAGGGGCGCGGGAACGTGGGCCGCTGAGACGTCTGCGCGGCCGGCGAGGGGTCTAGCCAAGCGGCCGGCACGGCTCTAGGCGCGCGGGAAGCCGCGCGGCCGGCCTGGCGGTCGCCGACCCATTGGCGCCCCGCTGTTGCCTGTGCGCCGCCCGGCGCGGTCACGTCGGCCTTGCGACGGCGAGCCAGACGGACCACGCGGCCGGCCACCGAGAGACTCGCTACGGCGGGCGCAGCTCAAGGCGCGTGCCCACGGACAGTCTCAATGGCTTCCGACGCTTGGAAAAGAGCAAGAGCCTTCTCGATCCTGGTCACTGTTGTTTCTGCTCTTTTGGTACATCCGAGCATTCTTTAGGAGCTATGCATGCTCTCGTATCTTCACTAGCGCAGGCTCCGCAGAGGTTTCTTGCTTGGCAAGAGCATTCAACGAGACCAGATACACAGCTGGTTGACCAGCGTATTGCGCCTAAACCATGTACAGTCCACAAGAATCCAAGCAGCGATCGATCTATGCGACTAGCGTCGTGCACACACCGCACTAATAGCTTTTTGTCTACGCTCGACCAGACCCGTAGCTCAGACAACCAAGCACTCATTCCTGAGCAGAGTCGCTGCTTTCCGAGGACGCTGTTCCGATAGTCTAAGCACATTATCATTTACGACACGCGAATTAGTTACATAATCTGTCGCACATACTAAGCGACCTTACAGCGCATGAGCTTCTATAGCGGTTGCGCGATGTGCCACAACATGTAAGCACTAGGTGGATTCCAGCTCCACACTGTTCGCGCGAATATACGCATTGCAAAACAAGCCCATCGCCAAAACCTGCTGTGAATCCATAAGCCGAGCACGAGACGTCTTATCTTGTTCCCGTATTGCCAGGTCTTCAGGGCCTCGTGGAAGGACTGCTGTGCCGATCGACGAGCTGCCGATGCACTGGTCGTCATGCTGTTTCCAATGATATTCGACACTTGAGCTAGGAAAACCACAGTTCTGTGACTTTGGCCTACGACCACAGATCCTTCATCGCCTAACGATAGGCTTCGACGGGAGCGTGCCTATTAGCATCAAAGCACTGCGGCGGCGGAGTGAAAAACAACGGACAATCCGCAACACGAAGGCGCACGTACGCCGGGGAAGCTGCGGGTGGCGCGCGCGCGCTGCGCACCTGCGCCACGCAGGCGCCGCCAACGCTGGCCCAGCCGCACGCGCGCTGCTCCCAGCGGCGCTGCAGCGGCTGCGCGCCAGCGCGGCGGGCCCGCGCGTCGCCGCCAGCGCCGCCCGGCGGCCCTGGCGGCCCGCCGCCGCCTTCCTGGCTGGCTGCACGCCTTCGCCCTGCAGCCTCGTCCCGGCCGCAACTTCGTACGGCGCACCTTCGTCCCTGTGGGTGCTGCGCCTCATGACGGAGGAGCTGGGCGACGAGGCGCCCCCGGCGCTCTGGGAGACGTGCAACGTGCCGCTGCTGCTCGAGGCCCTCAGGGATCCCTACGAGAATAACAAGTCTTGTGCGCTGCTTCTGCTCAGGAGATTTCCGACGAAGGTGCTTCACGTGCAGGACAAGAGCTTCACTGTTTTGGTGATGGGAACGTGTTTGGCCCTAGCCCGGAGCATACGCCCTGCTGATACTGTAACTGCTGCCTACTTGTTACGATTTCTAGTCTCGTTTCCTGAAGAGGAAGCTGTCTGGGCAAGTATTGAGTGGATGGAACAACAATACATGTTACCTGCGACAGATCAGGTGGATATTGGCAACAAGACAGCTTTGCATTGCCGGACCATCAAAGCCTTTACATCACTTCTTACTAGACAAGTCAATGTAGCAAAGACTAATATTATGGCTGCGGTTGTTGAAGGTCCTATGTATGGCATCCTGTTGTGTTTACGTCTGCTTTTGGAAGACTGTGATTTGCAGTCAGTAGCAGATGAAGCTGAATGGCATGTTACATTCACACGGCTCATAGATGTTTGCTATGCTGCTGTGGCTGCTGTGGAACTTGTCGTTAACTCTGCCAGCCCTGAAGGGCATCTTCCCATGGATGCACAGCTCTTTACAGATCTTCAGAAAAATAATGCAGAATCCATGAACCTAATTTCACCATCTTGTGCCAATGTGACTGCTCAGCAGGTATTGTTGTGTTCTTGGCGAACTGTGAAGGAGACATCACTGCTCCTGGGTTGCCTAGCTGCACGTGCTCCAATAAGGGAAACCAGTGAGTCTGGGGACAAGGGGCTAATTGGTGAAGAACAAATATTCGTCATGGGTCAGCACTTCATAAGGCTTCTTGCTGAAGTGAAACATCGAGGTGCTTTTGAACAGGTGTATGTTGGATTCACCCAACTGTGCTCGACGTTGTGGTCTCTAGGGAAAAAAACTCTTCAACACGATAGTGGCGATAATGTTGCCCTTCATGAACTACCAGCAAACTGGTTGAATGAGTTACTCAAGATGGTGTCCAGTGCAGGAGACAGCTATATAGGTACAGCATTGTGTGTTACTCGACGTTCAGCAGGTGTACCTTTCTTAGTTCAAGCACTTTTAGCCACAGAACCTTCTTCTGTTACTGGTGAGACCAGTGTATTTCCACGCTGCATGGAGAAGTTATTACATTTAGCAGAAGGTAATGGAAGTGTGGAGGCATGCACTCATGCACTTAACATATTACGAGCAGTCTTTCGCAGTTCAATTTTGGTTGAACGCACTGCACCATATCTTGCAAATGCTGTTAAAGTTGCTGTGCATGGTTGCCATGTCGACACTTGGTCAGTGCGCAATTCTGCCACCCTACTTTTTTCGGTTCTGGTGACAAGATTATTTGGCGTACCAAGTGTGCGAGATCGCCATCGGTTGAAGCGCATGACAGGACGGCTGTTTTTTCATCAACACCCCACCCTCTATGACTTTTTACTTGCGGAATTAACTCCATCACATACAGCATTCCCAAATAGCACTTCATCTGCACCTTCACCAGATTCTTTTGAACCTTTCCCTGCATTGCTGTTGCTTTCACGGCTATATCCGAGTGCACTTGAAGGAATGGATTCTAACTTACAGCTGTCACGTTTTATACCACTGGTGAGTGCTTGTGCCAATTGCAGTTCTGAGCGCATACGTGCCTTGGCAGCTCGTGCTTTGGCACCACTTGTAGCTCCTACCGCTTGGCCTTCATTGCTAATGAGTCTTCTGGAAACTGCTGCTGCCAGTGATTTGGGGACCTGGAACATGCGCCGTGGACTACTTTTGCAGGTTGTTAGTTTGCTGCAGACGTTTTCAACTCATATAGCTCAAGATATTTCTCTTCAAAATAAAATATCTACATGGCTCAACTCTAGTGAATGGCTGCTTGTCTTGCCCCAACATAAAACAGCTAGCTTTCCTGTTGCAGAGGCATATATTCAGGTATTACAAGGTCTTGCAAATGCCATACTTGGACAAATTGTTATTGGATGTAACAAACCAGAAAATGATACAACTGATGTATACGAAGAAAACAGTGTTTCTCTGAAGGAAGTAGAACAAAATGATAGTACAAAAATTAATCCTGAAATAAAAACAAGATGGATGAGAGTTCGGTCAATAGTTCGAAACATTATTGAAGAATTCCAAAGCAGCATCAGCAGCTTTATACCTGAGACTGGTCGTTGCCTTTATGAAATGCGTGCTACCCAGCTCCTTTTGACACTGACCAGAACGTTAGTCCCTTCAGAACTCCCATCTTTACTGTCAGATTTGGTTCTGTGCCACACTTCAGAAATAGCACATATTAGTCTCAGCTTTGTATTGCACACCTTCAAGCACATTCCTTTGAGACTACCATTTGAAGAAGAATATGATGATGAGGAAGAACTGCCTTCTGATGATGCCGTTGAGAGCACTTTGAAAGAGAGCTCTTCTCTTTCCCATTCAATTGCAAGATTGTTGCTTCTTCCAGAGGATCAGTTGCTTCCTGACTGTCGGCTCTGTTGTTTTCAGCTTTTGCAACATCTGCCATTGATTGTGCCGTGGCTCATTCAATTGCTGCCATCTTCATTGCTTAATGAAGAAAATGACGCAAGCGACTCTGGTAAACAATTAAGGTCGTATAGAGGTGAAATTACTCAATGGCTGCTTAAAGAGTTTGATACAGATCCTGATAGAGTAGGACCATCAATCGTAGCTTCTTTCAGTGTTCTATTTTCAGAACCTAAGGGATTCTGTGGAAATAATGATTTGGATGTGTCCTTGAATGCCAATGATTTACTCAATTTGTGTATCACTATAGAAACTGCATCATCTCCAGAGTATTCGGTTGAGTTGCGATATGCAATAGCATGCCTCGTTACTTCACCATCTGTTAGTCAGTACCTCCTTCATCCGTTGAAGAAGAAAGTGACCAATCCCCTAGCAATATGTCACCTTTGGTCAGCTGTTGTATTGCTGCTTGATGATGATAACCCTGAGGTGCGTCAGCAGGCTGCAACATTAGTCCTT